CTTTTCCTAAAATTAAGGATATTACCTTGTTCCAGTCGTCTTCTTTTTGCTGATCTTCCTGTTGCCTATCGTATCTTGCGTTTTCTCGTATTTTCACCATATGCAGCCAACCTTTCGGTCGATTTCCAGTCGATTTCCAGTCGATTTCGTGCCCTGTCCGTGCAATGTGTTTTGCTATTTCTGATCTTTATGTATCCATGTTCCTGCAGAGTCTTTGATGTTCTTTGATTCGTAGACCGATTTTTCTTCCTGTTTCACCGATATACTTCTGCTCACAGTTGCCGTATTTGATGCGATAAACTGCCGAACACTCACGTTTATCCGTCTTCTTGTGTTGCGTTGGCAGACCGGTGGAAAGTGTTTTATTCTCCTTTGTTATAACCTTAATATTCCATTTTCTCAATAAAGCTCGCAATTGTTGGCTCAGTTGTGATGAGGGCAAGCAAATCCATTAAGCGTTGTTATCCTCATACCTGATATGATTTTCATAAAATCCAAGTTGAAATATAGTGTATCAATTACTTAGACAAATCCGTTTCAGTTTGTCCAACTCCTAGTCCCAAAACTCTTTGTCTGTTAGTCGTAAACTTCTGATGATCAAACTCCTCAGTATTCCGATCTTCAGTCTGTAATTATGATGAGACTGGAAATTAAGGCTTATTCTCGCATACGAATTCTTTCGGTATAGTTTCCTCATGAGCCTATGACTTCAATATCCAGAAAGGGCAGCCGTTCATCTTCCTCCACCTCCATTGTAAACTTAATACTTTCATCAAGTTGGTTAATGAAATTGAGGAATTCACTTAAATTGTCCCTACTATATGACCAAAGTGCAAAGTAGTCATCCAAGTATCGCATGAGCACTCTTGGTTACAGTGGTGACTTCTCGAATTCCCTTTCCAACTTGTCCATGTATACATTTGCCAAAAGAGGTGTGAGTGGCGATCCCATAATGCCGTTAAATGTGAAATATGTTCTCATAACTGTCAGGGTGATTAGTCGTGTTAACGACTCCTTCCGTATCCGTTCTGCCTCCAGGATATCCTCTTCTCGCTCCAATATCTGCATTAAGGCGCTTATCGCCTTCTCACCTGAGATGTTTGTGTACATGGATTCTACATCGAAATTCACCAACAGTTCCGACCCCACCAACTCAATGTTCTTGATTCTTTGAGAAAATTTATATAAATTCTTGACGGTATTCAAGAGTCTATCATTTACTTTCTTAAACTTCAATCAAAGGAATTTCGTTAGTTTATGCATTGCTCCATGCTTGTTGTTGACTATTAGTCTTAGAGGATTTCCTTGCTTATGCATTTTCGGTAATCCGTAGGCTGTCCGTGGTCTTGCCTCATTTTTGGTTAAATATTTCATCATCCATCTGTCAATTTCC